CAATTCGATGTTTACTTTTCGCTGGGTATTAAAATCTATCTTCGCGCATCTTTAGTGAACTTTCTTAATACTTCTCCCAGTTTTTTTTTTCGCATCACTTTCCTGTATACATTTAGAATATATAGTCCATTAACCTCTTCGGGGATGAATTTTAAATTTTTGATTTTAATTTTTTAATAAAAAAATGTTTATAATTATAAATAACAATAATTTTTAAATAAAACTAAACGTACACATATGTGTCAATATCCCTGAAGAAGTTAAAAATTTCAAAAATTTGTGTAATTATAAATAACGGTAATTTTTAAATAAAACTAAACGTACACATATGTGTCAATATCCCTGAAGAGATTAACGTGATTTTCTGACATTATTGATTGCAATCACCTTTCGCAACATACTAAAAAACCTTTCAATGATGCTTGTTGTGCACAGTTAGACCAAGAAAATATGCAGGGCATGTTTTGTAGCTGAAAAAAAGTCTCTTAGCTTCTTTTAACACTTCTGCTAGTTCCATTCTTAGGACACCTTTTCTTTAATTTTCTAATTCCTTCAGAGAATATCTCACAGTTGAGCTTCATTGTAAAAATTGTTGTTCATATTAGGATTGAAAACTTTGGCAGAAATTAAGCCACTGACGTCTTGTAATAAAATCGAAAAAATTCAATTACGATCATTTTCATAAAACATTGCAAATATTTTATTATTAGTTTTTAATTACAGAACATGTACTGTAGCTTTTGGTAGAATATAAATTATAATATATCAGTTACATTTCTCTTTTATAATTTTCATAATTTAATTGTTTCTTCATTTTTTAATTTAGGAGAGAATGCAAAATTCTTTCTGTCTCCACCTAATTGGTAATTTTATATTAGTGTAACAATCGATGAGCACCCGGAACAAATTCCAAGAATATTGATATGTATTGTTACGAAGATGACATTTATTTACGAACGGTGCATGTTCATCCGAGAGATCATCAATAACTCTTCTCAATAAGCAAAAAACATTAAATCAAACTTTCGAAACATTAATTTTATATGGATTTTGTAAGTATTCTGACATAATATTTTATAAATGTTTTTAAAGTGTTCCTTTTTTGATAACATAATATTACCAAATATTAAAACCATATTGTAGAAATATTATGTTTAATGTTCGGATCAAATATTGTTAACAATATCATTGTATACAACATTAAAAACTACATATTTGAATACGTTACATGTTATAAAATATCATTGTAATAACGTTGCATTAGTGATTTCTTGCTTATTGGATCTGCACTTCAAATATCGATCGGAAATCTGAAGTCAAGGAACTGTTACGATGGCACATGATTTAAAGGCTAATTAATATTCCTGACATATTAGAAAGTAGATAGTTACAAGTTGGACAACAATGTTTTCTCTCGTGACCTTTACAGAACTGAGAATTTAATATTGAGAATTACTAAGGAACAATTAAATATTTTCAGTCATTATTTCGCCAATATTTAATCATTGGTTAATATATTTTAAATTATATACATAAAAAGATTGTATGTGTTTTTTTATTGATATTAATAATAAAATAAAAGTAATAAAAAAAAGGTGAAGAAGAAAAAGGAAAAAGAAAAACGAAAAAAATACAGACTCAGGGCAATATCGAAGCTGAGTCATTTAGTTAGCCATTTAGTAAGCAATCAGACATCCTAAATCTTTTGCTACCGGAACACTTGCTTGATACATACTCGCTATCTGCTGTCCTTCCACTGCTTTATCAAGATTTAATTACTGTAAATTCAGTAATTCTTAGTATTAAATTTCTGCAAGAGTATTTTCTCACTACCGCACTATTAACCATTAATATTTAAGTAGTCATATTAATGATAAAGTAGTATTTAATCATTGTAACTCTAAACATTGAAATATTTGGGATCATTACGAGCTTTATAATTTAACCATTATGAATTACTGACAACACTGTTTTAAATATTCAAAATAAATAATTAATCACCAGTTTAGCAATAATAAATTAAGGGAAAATAATAATAATTTAAGGGGAAATAATAAGTATTAGCGTATTATTATATAAAAAATTGTTATACAAGGGGTGACAAGATAAAACAAGTCTCTTACTTTGTATGTAGTGATTAGTTTTCGGTGATACCGAATAACGATGTGTCCGAAATTTAATATCAATGAACTATCTCGCAAACTGCTATTAAACTGCCTATATGTTTCAAACAAAAAGAGGAATCGTATTCACTATCTACGAATAATAAGATTTATATAATATAACAAAACTTGAAGTTTTCAATGTTTCGCTTTACAATTTGTATGTTAGTTTTGGATTTAAAATTTTAATTGACAAAGTATTCTAAATCATTATGAATTATTATCATATCACTTACTTCTCAAAGCCCAATTCGTCTTCTTCGACACGCCTGTCATATAACGAGTTAAGTCCTCGCCGCAGGATAGCGAAACGCCTGCATCTCGGTACGTGTCGTTCTTCCAGATACGTGAGATAACGATCGGATCCCAAATTTTTAAGTCGAGATTCCAACTTCCGTCATCCGCTTTCCCAGTGCCGTTTAACACACCAATGTTTCTCGATGGAAACTCATACACGTCTTCGACACTGACAAATTGCTCAGTAAAATTCTTTTGAATATTAACGTTAACGGTAGAGTCTTTCGAAACTGGAAGATCGTGCGAGGATAACGTGACTTTATTTGCGTGCAAACAAATCGAAAATCGATGCAACAACGACAGATACAAAATAAATTTGCACCATGCCATTTTTACGAAAAACGTTTCGTATCAAAGAAGTAGATAAAGAGCAGTCATTCAATAATCTATAATTATTTTCAGAATGACTCGGAAATTTGTTTCACAAACATTTGAAAGTATTTCAAACACGACTAAAGACATTTACACATCAAATTGAAAGAAAATTAGAATTAGATGAGAAATGAAACGCAAGAACGATTGAAACCAGTAATTTTCGCGAGATATCCACAAAACTTTTTATGCAACGCGAATGAGTGTAAATAATTCAAGATGTTGGTTGTGCAGATACTGTGCGCATACTGACGAAAGCAAATTCAGATATAGTCCAGCTGCCGTCCCCCACCATTAAGCGCCAATGCACGCCAATACACGAGTCTATGTCTTATAAAATGTTACATGTTACTGTTACAAACTGTTAGCGCATTAACCGCGAATGATTATTGCATGTAATAAAAGCTAAGTTTACAATTAACGCTTTTCCTACAACGTTCTATTTTCGGTACACGCTGAACACGATTTCCGCATCGATCGATACTTTTTTTTACTTTGAATATTCGCTTTTATAATAATGACTTTCTAATTCATAAAAACTATAAGCTGAATAATTATAACACATTTATCAAGCTTCAAAATATACTTTCGTTATGCTGCGTGAATAAAAAGTCGAATAAAAACGGTCTGGCAAGGAACGTGTTAATTAATCATTTCCAGCGAGCCATTACTATCAGATTCATACGTTGACTTTTCATGCAGCCAAAAACTGACCCTCTCTCGAACTTATTAATCTTAAACTGTGTTTAGAATAATTTTTAGTCATTAGCAACTATAATAATTTTACGAGAATCAAATATTTTATATAATATTTTATTTAGAGTATTATATATAGTATTTTATATAATATTTTATTTAGAGTATTATATTAATATATATACTTTCCCCCGAAAAAATAATTATATGCAGTTATATATATGGGATGTTCTGCGAATAAACTGGCAAACTTTATCAACATATTCGGGAGGTCATTCTGAACAAAAAATGTTACAAAAACAATGAATCAATTCAGCTTCGTTATTGAAATATAAAAGATATATTGATATAAAACGCAAGTAAACAGAAACGTTCAAGTTATTTAACTTTTATTTAATTATTTATTCGAAATTGTGTGAAATTGCATTTCACACTTACATAAAAAAGACTTAAAGGAAAAACTTCAAACTTCAGGCATTTTATCGAAAAGCACTTGATGTCATACTTAAAATGAACGATAAAGGAGATATAATATTGTTATCGTACGGGGACATCTTAGGTCTTAGGTCAATATTTACTTTTATCACAAAACATAAACACCGCATAGACGTTTACCTGAATCAAAACGGGAATGTAATCTCTTATGATAACTTAATCATTGCTTAAATGGTTTTAATCATTGTTAAATAGAAAAATAAATGATTGTCATTACGGAATACTATGTAGTAAATTATGTAAAAACAAATTATGTAACAACAAATTATGTAAAAACAAATTAATGTTAAATTATTTTACTTAAGTAACAAAAAATCATTTTATCTTTTAAGTCTGACTACATTTTAGTTTTTTTATGGTTTCGATCCTTGACGGTCACCTATTCTTTTCTTAGTTACGGTCATCATTACTTTACCTCAATAATCTACCAAGGAATTTCTGATACCAATGAGCTCTGGCAAAATCTTTAAGGATCTTTTCAACTTTTTGAACAAGAATGACCCCTTAATTGCATTGATCTCTAGTCTATTTTTGAGCAAAATTATTTTGGATCTATTTTTCAAAGTCTACATATATACTTCTTTGTTATATATAAATTTGAATGTTTTTTACATATTTGGTATATATAGGTAATAAAAGCATGCACACACACACACACACACATATTTACATAGAGGTTTCACTCTCTTCACATATATATAATTAATATTGTAGACACATATATGTAATTCATATTTTTTGCATCAATAGATAATACAAGTTTCGAAATTTTCTTGCCGAGCACCGAAGGTTTTATTTAGATATAGGAGGCACTTTATATTAAGATTTTATTTTCTTCGTTATATAGTACCGTTACTTTTGCATTAGTGAAAATCGTCAACAACGGAAGTTTTAATTTACAAATATCTGCATGATTTTTTAATAATTATGTTGATTTGTTCTTCAAACTATGTTTACGCATATATACATGGTCGAATATATATATACATATAAGCTAAATATAATTTTTGTCTTATATAGTCTATAGTCTTTAACTTTTTATTACTCTTTATACCGATGATGCAGAAACTACATTATAATTGCTTCCACTCTCTCAAGGGATGAATAATTCGCAACAGAGATACCACTGGTGCCTCGAAGAGCAGACTGAGAAATAGCGACACGGTGTATGATATCACCACATTTCCAAAAAATAGCACCGCCTGTAAAATACATCGAAATGAGCCAATATAAAAGTCTCCAAGCGTAAGTTGCTATTTACGTTTTAATTTATATCCAGTCTAACTTTAAAGATTCCCTATTCTCTTTAATTAACAATTGCATGGGGGAAACGTACTTTTACGTTTTTTGCAGTCTGTCACTAAAGCGCAGGTCACGTAAAAGTACGTATTTAGTAGATTTGTGCTGGAGAGCGAGTATTGTATAAATACGATGGGCATTGTAAAAGTGTGTACGGTGTTTGTGTTTGTGTTGCTAGGCAAACATATACTAGAGAAAATTGTTGATGCCAGGAAGAAAAAAAATCCACAGAGACAATGTCGTGTGTGCTCAGCCAAAAAAGTACGGAATGAAACATGTTTCTTATGTAACTTCTGCTGTGTTCCGCTTCACAGAAGAAAGTGCTTTAAACGATACCATACTGTGAAGAAATATTAGTCTTATCATTGCTATTTTTACTTGTTGTTATGAACAAATATTTTGGAATAAATAGTAAAATTAAAAATTGTCTATTTTCTTTTCATTTTTAGTTCACTATTTAATATTTACTTATTAAAAAAAAATCTCGTTTTTTTAATCATCCTAGAGCATATATTTAAGTGTAAAATAAAAAAAGTTTCGTTGAGAAAAACGAAATAGTTATTGATTTATTGCGATTTTACTGAATACCAAACTCCCGCGAAATTCACAAAGAAACGTCCGCTACACGCGTAAATCCGCGGCGAAATATACCCGCATACAATGTGTTAAGTATTCTTATTTAAATTCTCTAAATTTGACTTTTATGCAAATTTGCGTGAAAGTGTACAAAAGAATATAATTATTGATAAACTATTAACAATGTCCAGTTTTATGTAGACGAGAGAGAGACAAAGAGAGGGAGGGAAGGAGGTAGGGTGGAGGGAGGGNGAGAGAGAGAGAGAGAGAGAGAGAGAGAGAGAGAGAGAGAGAGAATGTTAATCGGAACATATTTTGAAATAATTTTAAGAAATGTGTCCACCACCGCGACTGGAACAACTAGGAAACCAGCAATATCCACAAACGACGTTGGTATACAATACGAATGAAACGACGAAAAATTAACCATTAATACATCTATATTAAATTTTTGAGTACCATGTTAATATAAAAGTGCAAAAATATACCAAGAAACTGCGCGAGAGATACCACGAACGTTCTCCCTGTAGAATTACGATTCTTATAAGCAGAGGATGCACTAGATAGGTGCAATATGTCAATCTGGAGGCCGGATACATATACTTCCAGGAAAGGACACGATTCACCAAACCTGAAAAAATCCCGATAGCGGCTCGTATACAATTATACTTTTACATTTGCGCGATGCGTAATGCAGACTTTTACTTTCACACCTACGTATTTGAACTAATGAGTGCACAGAGAAAGCTTTTGTAATCAAACACGTAATACTCACCACCGTAACCGGTAACGCAAGCGATCAAGATCCATGCCAAGCATATCGCCCAGGCGGAATGCGACAGCGCTGTGTATAACACAGACAATATCGGTCCAAAAGTAGTTTCATGTAATCCATATATTATACTCGTCAGGATAATTAGGGAAAGGGACCAACTGAATACAACGATAACCTGCATCAGGATGACAGGAGATAAATAATCTCTCCCTTTCTTCTTCGTGTTTATAACGAGATATTGACGCGCGCGATTTTACACGTATCTATCGCGCACTACGTCTAACAGCGTTTTACGTCTTACGTGAATTTGATTGAGATTTGCATGTCGCGTATGAAATCGCTGAAATAAATAATTCGTACATTACTACTCAGTTTCTTACATATCTTCGTATCATTCTCAAGTCAGCTCTAAGAAATTACGATGCGCGTTAAATTATTCGTTTAATCGGACGGATTCTAAAATTCAACGCAAGTCACGAATTGTCGCGCGTGCGCCAGAAGAAGCGATTACGCGAAGTTTGCTCACTTTCTGCATATTCGCCTTGCAGTTGATCTTGAAAAGGTACCATCCGGTAATCATTCCTATGAGATACGGTCCTATCCTTGTCCATGGTTTATCGTAAATACTCTCGTAGTGAGCGAACGGATCTTGAATGCTGGGGAATGCGTTTATCTATTTTATGTAGCTCTTGCCTGACCCTTTCTTTGAACGCGGGTAATTAGCGTAATACGTTTTATAAGTAGACGATGTGACGCGCATTACGGTTTATGTGTAACGTGTGCTCACCTTGGCATGTGTCCCGTGTGTAAAGTAATTAGCGCCGTCGTGACCCATGAGCCGATCAAAAAGAAAGCGACGATGAATATGGCCGCCGGTAGAAAGCTGCGGAAAAAAATTCTAATGGGTGATCAAAGCTCGAATTTTCGTCGTTTTCCTTTGTGTTCGGCTGACCAACTTACTTTGCTCCGATTATCAGGATGATTGTGCCCACGATGTAGAACTGCGTGTCGTTCGTCAGGTACCAACTCCAGGCCATGCACTGTGTGTGTGTGCAAAGGGAGTAACCAGATATTCGGAGATGTATAAATCGGAGAAGTATTAATTACTAATTAATGTGTAATATGTGGATTATTGTGATGCACAAGTTTCGCTTTTGCCGATTCCACTGTGCTTAGATTCAATTTAAATCTGCGTGCCCGGGAAACAAAAATAAACTAATGGAAAATAAAAATAATAACTACAAATAAAATAATGGAAAAATAATTCAAGATTTAATTTTCAATTAAATGCGTCTGATATTAAAAAGAATATTTCGAATATTTCAGATCGCGGTACCTTTCTAATCGTAAAAATATTATATATCTAAACGTAATAAATATACCGACAGACCGTCTCAATTAAACAGAATAATTGATACAAAATGTATGTTTATAAAATAACCGCCGAGACAAATTAATCGATATTAAAAATTGTGTGGAACCGCGCTTACTCGCTCGGGCACGTTGAAATAAGTATTTATGTAAAGGGCATTCCTCCACCAGAATTTTTCGCACGTCTCATAATCCAGTGCAGTGGGTAATTCGATCATGGAGTGATCGTGATACCACTTCATCAACACCTGGAGCAAACCAATCACCAACAGATAAATCGGAGTCAAGCGGAAATATCTGTACCATATCATCGCCAAAAACTGCAGAACCTGACCCAGACAGCCCTTCGTCACTTTTTTCTCTTGTATCTTTTTATTTGCCATAGTGCGGTAATAGAGAAACGTCACCAAGCATCCGCTAAAATGGAGATATGTTGTTTTCTTATTTTTATCCTGATTATCTATTCACTGAATACTGTGTTACATGTATATGTGCATATATTTTTCTATCACACACGCACGCACGCACGCACGCACGCACGCACACACACACATGAAATTAATAAAGAAGATATTAAGTTTTTCGGCTGTTCTCTTTCATATTTTATCATGAACGATTCCCATTCCTGGGATATTCTCAAATCTATTTCTTTTTCTCGATTATTCAGTACGTCCGCTAATTAACTCGATGTAATGAATCGTGCGCACACCTGACGAAGAAAAACGTATCCACGGAATATATGCTGTTACCGATGGTCTGATAGAGAAAGTCTTTCTCGACTACGTTTCGGAAAGTCTTGTTTTCTACAACAAAAATAAATACAGAGGAAGAGTAATAAATATAAGAATAAATACAAGAATAAATACAAAAAAAATACATCACAGTGGGATCACGAATCGATTGTCTTCCGTGTTACGCATATATACCTGAGATTTGATTGGATATCAAGCATGTATGCACCAGAATCACCCAGAGCATCGAATAAAATCGCAAGCCATGTACGGGCGCTAAAGTGTCAATGCCAACGTCCAGACTGCAAAGCTTGGATATATTCACGAATAAACTGAAGGACAGCAACGCCTCTGACCAAGGTTTCGGCGTGATGTTTGCATCGCGCACATCTACAAAGAATTATTAGAATATTGTTCGATTCGTACGTTCGATTCACGTTCCGATTAATTGCAATACGTTATTGCTCTCGTGCAAAACGGCAAACTTATATGAAATAAGCAGCTCTATATTTTATTTATATTATTTACACTTTAGGTACTATCGTGAAAGCATACGGTAGAAAAATAAACAAACAACAGCTTACCCAAAGAAGCGTTGTGAGTCTTCACAGTCCATAATTTTGAAATGGTAATTTTATTATCGAGCTTACTGTTTGATCTCAGCGTTGACAACGTTATTGTGTTTCTATCACTGTTCTCATCGCTAGTCTTACGTAAGACTTTATAACGCAGTAAAACGTCATAAAAAGTACCGATGAATGTAAGTATACACACCACGACGAAACAAACTCTACAACGTATTAACGTATACATTAATTATATATATATTATATATATTGATACTCGTTGACATACATTACACTGTTAATCATGTATCGCCAAAAATTGGAGGTACACGTTGAAATATAAATCTTATGCAATTACAAGGGATGTATCCCATGAGAACATCCGTGGAATCCACGCGAAATCGACGTGAAATCAACGTGAAATCGACTTCCTTACATGGATTCGACGAGATGTAACGTGTGCGTGTGACCCGACAGACCTCGAAATCAGGAAGTCCTCATGGGAGATATGTTACGCGGTACGGGATATTGGAGGTACATTTATCGATTTCCAGTATTGCAAAAATACTGGAAAGAAAATTGGAACTTCGTCAGGACGTTTGTTTGTATCCTGTAGAGGTTACTAACAAGCAATTCGAACTGTCCACTTTTAATGTCATATGAGGAGAAAAATTTCGAAACAAGGCAGACTCAGTTGGGGTCGAAAGCAAGTTTTCCGCTTGCCTGGTAACTCTTACCACCGAGCAATTATACTCTATAACATCTTCCGTTTTCACATTTAAGGCATCTTACCCAACATACTTCGTATTTATGTATACGAGATACATACGGGAAATCTTGTACTTTCTAAACAAAAGTACCGTGAGTTAATAAGGACAATATTTCCAATCACTTTTGCTTTTTTTTTTCTTTACCTTGTGTATCCTTCGTACTAATATACCGGGAGAAATATCTGTTACTAACTCGAACTGTCGTTTCCATTTAGAAATTAGTACCTCGAGGTATTACGAGGTATTTGGAGGTATTACGCGATACACACACATGGTTAACAGTGTACATATACAAAAATTAAAAGAATATTTCTTGATAATAATAAGTGAGCAAAAATCAATGGACTATAATATTTTCCGATACAAAGTTTTTCATATATATATAATCATGTACAATCATATAAAGTCATGTATAAATATATACAATTATATATAATGCTAATTATGTCAGGAATTGTACATAATTATAAATACTTCTATATATATAATTTTACATGGTTATATATAATTATATATATATATATATATATATATATATATATATATATATATATACAGGTGAGTTTTAATCGCGCGCG